TGCTATGAATAAAACATGTTCAGCATTAATGAAGTTTGTCATGTATGACTTCACTTATTAGATTAGGAAATGATAATTTTAAACTAAATAATACTTTTAATTAGGAACGTCACTTCACAAAATGCTTGGGGGGGGGGGTAAAAAAGGTTACCTCACGTGGGTCCATTCCAATTAGGGGCCCTACGCCATGGAGTAATTTACGTCTATTCTATATTTGTTAATCCACCCTGTCTAGAAATGTCTCATACAAATTCCAGCGAGTTTTGGGGATGCTCTCATTGCCTCCCTCCAAATGAAGACCCTGTTTTTAACAGCCCCGTACAAATTTTCAGTATAATGAATGTACAGTTGTACGTTATATCATATTCGTACATTTTTACTCAATACGTATTGGAGCTCGGTGATTCATTTGGAAATATCCAGACTTTTCGTTTTTCAGGGTTAATAGTTTGGCAACAACATGGCTTTTGAAACAACTCCAATCGGCATAGTGTAAAAAAAAAAGTACTAATGATAACTTCCTCCCTCTTTATACTTTCAAAGTGGGATTTTTTTTTAAACAAACTGTTAAGGAAGAAATCTGTAGTTAAAACATATGGTATTCAGGTATTTTGATATCCACCAAATAAGTCTAAAGTATGTGCAAAAACGTATATTCAGAAAAGTTATGCAGAAGAAAAAAAAAAAAAACAAGAACATTAAAGAAAAGACAAGCAAATTCAAATTAACTTAAACAAAATATTTATTCATAATAATATTTGTGTTCGTCACCCAACTGACCAGCTACTCGATTTCTGTAGTAGCTTCATATGGTTGCTGATGATAGGAACAGGAATAAGTCAAAATAAGAGACAAAGAATTGTACGGATATCAAATTGTATAGACAGTCAAAGTCTTTAGTGCAATATCATATAAGTTATTGAGTTACATACTTAACTACTTGTCTACATACATAATCCTAACCATTCCAAGGCAGTTTGTACAGGTTTCTGTATCACCTGTATGAATAATCGAACTTCCTAGAAATACATATAGAAATCTTTACATGCTAGCTTTAGACTCAAGCTAAGCTGTCTGTTATAACCAGTATGTAACTTTTACTTGTATAAAAGGATCAGCACATGTTTTTAACCTTGCGATATCCCATTTACACAAATGTCATGACTATATGGTATTCTCAAGTTAAACTGGTTTCCTCAAAGAATATTAGGTACATCCGCTTTATAATGAGAGAATCGGCAGGATGAATTACCAAGGAAGTCTGAATTTACTTTAACTAACTCGGTTCGAGAAAAGAAATAAACAGACTAGACACGATGTGTTATACAAAATGAAAGCGATTTTTATTGAAGTCAATGGATGAACACAGTATGTGTACTTGTGTTAGCAATCTGGTAGGTCGATTGATGAACAGCATTTTTCCCTCAATATGTCTTCCTACCAACAAACTTTAGATCCTGCATAAACCTAATGTTTCTCACACAACAAGAAATGACAGATTTACCCGTATGAACTAGTACTATCCACGTGAATGATTATTCTTATTGAACATAGATCAGTGGTTTCCCAACTTTTTTCACTGACGACATCTTAACCCACTTACCTCGACTTGCGTATTTTTTGTAGAGTTTTTTTATGTTCTTAATTAACCCTTGTTTATAGAAATTCTCGCGACACCTCTATCAACTTGCTAGAGTTTGGAAAATACTGCTCTACCATTGAAGGACACTGCTATCATTGACCTTCTTGTACAACAACAACATTTTTGCTTGTGGGTGAAGCAGGTACTATCCCTAGAGATAAAAAAAAGGCGGGTACAACGAAGTCAACATTACTGTTACTACAGGCTACGTTCATTTTGACACAAGTTATTGACTTAAGTTAGCAAACAACATTTGGACAGAAACTCCTAAATTCTTGTACGCTCACAACTAAACTTACAGAATTTCTTTGCTTATCGATCGAGTAACTGAACAGACGCGATAACTGTCACTACTAACACTGAACTGAATTACTCATTGAATACTTATTAACCTACTAAACAGTTCACTGAGTCTCGTGTTTATATTGTTCCTTTGTTTTTACATACTGCACAAAATTTCGAGATTCTACAGAGGCTTTAGCTTTCATGAACTTTCTACGTATATTGCATCATCATCACGATTAACTTCCTCTAGCAAGCAAACATCTAAGATAAGTTGAATAGAGTTGTTTAAACATTTGTTTAACAACAAGTAAAAGCTTGGAATGGTCCATTCTTTCATTGGGGGAGGTGGGGGGTGTCTGTGAGCCAGACTAGATTCGGAGAATTCCACTCCTCATCAGTAACCCTAGCCACTACCACCAATGAAATAGCGGACCAAACCAAGCTTTTATAGTAGTGAAGCATCGAAAAGATGTATTTAAGTGTTTTACACTCACAAAAAGAAACCTATCATTCTCATTTGTTTGTATAGGTAAATATTTAAACAACTCTATTCAATTATGTACTAGCTGCCCAGTGTCAGCTAATAATACGAAGAATTTAATTGTGGCGAAATGCTACAAGTTCTTCAACTACCAATAGAATGATAGGTTTCTTTTTGTGGGTGTAAAACACTTAAATACATCATTTCGATCTAAGATCTATATATCATCGCGGTTAGGCAGTGTTGTAAGTAAATCTAAATTAACATTTCTCCTTTATTCTTTGACTAAACTTTGATCATTTTTACAGTATGTTTTATATTATTTTTATCCTTAAAACAGCATAGCCATTCACACAAAATAATTAATGTTCACAAGTTTGGGTAAAATATTCAGTATAATATGGAAAAATTCTACGCAGATTTTGTCTGAGTCTGACTATAACTCTGAATTTACTATGTAGTTGTGAGCTAAATCTTCAACGTTTTAATTTAGATGTTCGCTAGAGGGAGCTTGAAGCTAAAGTCTAATAAATTCAACTAAGATCTATCTAGCTAGATGCATTAGTTATAATAAATACCAATGAGTAGTTAGTTCGTAAGAGTGTCAGTTAATATTAAGTATAACAAGCAGGTACACTTTTGTTCTATTATTTAGTTACTTACCGAGTTACGTGCTTATTTACCAAAGTTAAATTAAACATATGTCTCGTAGGCCTACAATTATGTACAATTTACAAGTAAACGTGGTCTGTATTGTTACTTATCTACTTGTTTATAAATTTCCGGTAGAAATTCTTTCCGAGGAACTTAAGCGATACAAGTCCTTTCTTGATTAAACCAGTTTATTATTTCTCGATACAAACTTTTAGTACACAGTAATTCCACAGTCAATACGTTTCTCGTCACTTTAAACTTAATAACTTGTATAATACACGCTATAAATCACAGCTATTCACAATCTTGATAACTTCACTCTCTACGAGTGCAAAACACACACTAGTTCGAAACAGAATCGTAAATTACCCGAAACTCACCGTGACTACTGTTCGCTTGACCATCCACACATTCCCGCAGGATTTCCTGCCAGGCTTATATACTAACAAAGAGGCATCTCTCTATCACACGTGACTTCCGCTGTCGTAACAGTATAAACATTATAAAATTACAATGAACAAACTAGTAACACTAATATATCTGTGTAAGCCAGGGGCACATTTACGGTATGTGGGGCCATGGGCTGGATGGGATTGTGTGGCGGCTGGGGCCTCGGACCCTATTGAATGTATTCTGTTGTGATTTTTGAGGTTGCATCTTCCAACTACTCTTCACAGCCCAGCAGTAAAACATTAAAACAATTTTAAAATCTGTCAATTTTCTACTCAAAACAAAATGTAATTTTATTCATTCTTTACATAAAAATCACGTTTCACATATTTTAACTATTATTAAAAATCATACTTTATCTGTATCATACATAAAGATTTCAAAATGGGCATTAGCGAGCTATGTATTGTGTTGACACACTATTTTTTGTTCCTGCGTCTATGTATTGTTTTGTTAGCATCAATGCAAATGACTGTTAATGTTAAACTGTCCTGCTTCATTCTAAATGAATAAAAATTACTTTTCGTTATATCTGTAGATTGTCTAGCACATGAACCTGATTGAACTGTGGATTGCATTTGGAGTTGGTACTTCCTTGTACACGTCATTTTCCAACCATTAGTACCAAAGAATGCTAGATCTCTACTTCTATTTCATGCCTTCACTGGGTGTGGCCAGTCATCTGCATTTGCAAGCAGGAGAAAGAAAACTCTGAACAATGTTCCTATCAAAATACCATAAAGGAGGGGATGACTTTGGGAGAAAAGTATGTAATACTGATGTATAAAATGATAAAAACCTTATAACCCGAGCGCTTTCGAAAACCTTTCAAAAGCGCTCGGGTTATAGGGCTTTTATCATTTTGTATCAGTACTTGTTGAACCTACGTGTTTTTCTGACATAATTAATAATACTGATGTTTAACAGAGAAAGCAGATTCACAACTGTAAACTAGGCTTGCAAAAAACTCTACAAATAAAGGCAGGTCAATCAATGCAATTCCTCCAACTGCTGCATCTTTACATCAACACATTAAAAGAGCTGCATACCACGCTGGACATTGTTAGGGACAGATATTGGTGTCTTGTCCTTGAACGAGGATGGATGAGATGACCTATAGAGATGTGGGAACGTTTTTAAATTATACTTCCAGAAGCATCCGAATCCTGCCTCGAATTTGTAAAATGTGGAAGCAAAGCAGATAAAGAATGTAGACTGTAGAGGGTAATGCAAGTGTGTGAGAGAAGGGGTACTGTGTACAAAACTGTGCAAATGTGGAGATTGTGAACGTGAATAAAAACTGGAAAAAAACACAGACTAATAGAATTACATTTGAAATATTGCACGTGGTTGAAATACAGTGTTTAGCAAACAGACACAATTGTCAGTCAAGTACATGAATTTTGTTAAAAAGTTTTTGAATTTCGCACAAAGCTACACGAGGGCTATCTGCGCTAGCCGTCCCTAATTTAGCAGTGCAAGACTAGAGGGAAGGCAGCTAGTCATCACCACCACCCACCGCAAACTCTTGGGCTACTCTTTTACCAACGAATAGTGGGATTGACCGTCACATTATAATGCCCCCACGGCTGAAAGAGCGAGCATGTTTGGTGTGACGGGGATTCGAACCGTGACCCTCAGATTGTGAGACGAGCGCCCTAACCACCTGGCCATGCCGGGCCTTTGTTAAAAAGTAAGGGGTAAAAGCCACATGGAATAATCACCATAGGGTCACATATTAGATTTACAAAAAAGATTGAAGAGGGTGTGAAAGGGGCAATGTACCAAGGAATGGTAGCTCAAGAGGCCTACTTAGGACTGCTTATGTAATAACAACAACAACAAAAACACAAAAAAATGTTAGTTTTGTCATACAAGAAGGCTCCCAAGTCCTCTGTGCATGGAGGCCCTGAAATTTCTTAGTGTGGCACTGGAGAAGACACTTAAAAACGGTAAACAGACAAAAATTTCATAAAGAAACCATATGTAGGGAGTTGTTACCCATGTATGTGCACATGACATGTATGCATGCTTACACAAAATATTACTTTCAATTTTGTGATTGTAATTGGTAGGAGCCTAGCCATATGGTGGGTTATCATTGACTTTACTAGGTATGGGCCTAGGCACCCATTTGGGTGTCCACTAACTATGTAGAAAACACCCAGTTTGGTTTTTCTTTCCCTTACACAATACCTACTTTTATACTTCATATTCTAAGTTTAGAGAACTTTGATTACCTTAGACTCATATTCTACGAGTTTTGGAAGATTGTATTTTTATATCCCTTAACTTTTGAATTATGTACGTCTTAAAATGTTTTTGCATCTCTTTAGTCTTTATTTATTATTATTATTATTATAGACATTACAAATTTTTCTGTAAGTATTCAATTAACTGAATGGTAATTTAGCTACAAAATGAAAAGCAACAAAGCAATCTATAATTTGACCCTCGATGAACCCGAGGCAAAGACACTTACTCGTACATATAAAAATTAATAAAACCCTATTTGTATATGACCATTTAAAATACTAGAATACAGACATTTAAAAATATGTGTGTTTTTAAAGAATAATTAATAAATTGTGTTGTAACTTTATTGTAAGATGTGTTACCTCTATATATTCAATTATTCTTTCAAATAAAAATTTGAGTTAACATGTAACTGCTTTACAGAATACACATCAGCTAACATGCTCATTTACAATCTAACCAATGAAGTTTAAATATTATCATTTAATAACACGAAAACAATAAGAGTTATGACATCACTTTATTTAACTTAAAGAACTGAGTATACAGCAGAATCATACAAGATATTGTTACTTCCATAGGTATATCATAACATGTTAAAGTGTTCTTAATTACTTTCCTAATAAACTCAGTATAGTTATAGCATTGTTAACATTTTATAAGTTATGTACAACACCACTTTTAGAGATCTTTATATAATTTAAAATGGCCTTCATAAGATGAAATGTATCCATTAGTTGGATTAACAAACTTCAAGGCATTTAAGCAAATAATAATATTTGTTAATTATATACAAATATATATATACATGCTGTAGTAGTTAAATCAGATCCTCTTAAACGACTTATATCATCATAGTTAACTGACAAACTCTTGCACAAGTACTTTACGAAGGTACATAAATGACTACATGATGCTACAGGATAAATGGATGTCCAGTACAACCACAGTATCTGATGGAAACTATATTGGTATATTCTTGTTTAAACCATGTGAAATTTCACTGTAGATTACTGGTAAATTGTAACATGGATAAGACACAATAAACCTTTTTTTTTTTAAATATTTTCTCCTGTTCCTGAGCATGGAAGATTTTCACTTCATCATGACATCATACAAGTTTTGCCTGCAGAAGAAGAATGAAAATAAATTTAACAAAACTTTTCAAGCACATATAGGTTACATAAAACTACACACAGGATCAGACTGTACTCTAAAATCCTACATGGAAAAAAGGTAGAGGGGGCCCACAAATTTGTTATACAAATAACAAAAATACATTCTTAAGAAGCATATGTAATTTAATGTTAAAACACCAGTCATACATAGTTCGATAATCAGTAATTTTGAAAACTAAGAAGAGACCTTCATAAGATAGGAGATAATACCTCCAACATAAAACTGTCAAGTAAATCCTTTTCTGTGCACAGCATTATTAGTAAAAGCAATATATATATATATACATATCAATTTAAACATTAAGGTGATGACAACAGACAAATAAATATTTCTCTATTGTTCTGAAAGGTCATTCATTCTTTTTTTTTTATTTTTTATGTACTATTCCAAGAGGCCCACTGTGATATTTCATGGTGTCCCAGTGGGTCAGCCTGCACTAGACTACACATTGGAAGTTACCTTATCTTGACAAATGTGAGCCATTCAAGTAGTCTGAAAGTCAGTCCATCAAATACAGTTACTGCATATACAAAGTACACACACTTTTGTTATTTCCAACAAAGCTTGAACAAATTTGTGCCCACTACATGCAATGTTTTGCATAATGAATGCAAAATTTTTTGAATGCCAAAATTTATGTCAAATGTTGTACTAGACTAGTTATTCAGAGCAATATGTACATCAGGGTAGCCACATTTTTTCCAAAAGTATTTTCCCCTCAACCTTCAAATTTTCCAGTCCTGCACATCATGCACAAAATGAACGTTTCTTCATAATACTACCCAGCTAACATCACTTTAGCTTGTAATTGAGTTATAATAAAATGTTCCATTTCAATTTATGAAAAATATATTACCTAATGTATAATAACATTGGTCAGTCACTCTGCATCTAATTAACACCTAATAAAATGGTATAATAATAAGTGACGAAGAATATGTTAAAATATGTCACTAACTGGCACAACCAAGCAGTAAGGTTGGAATGCAGAATTTGAGATAAGTAAACATTAACATCTATATTAGATACAGAACTTGTAGTAATATGTCAGTGATAAATAATAATGTAAAAAATAACATCTTTCTGTGGAGTAATTTAAAAAAATATTTTTTATTTACATGTGACTTAAACAAACAGTATATTTTTTAAAGCCAAATTATGATACATAAACAGGAAGTACTTTAAAAAGTTGCCTATGTTTATGTGATTAAATTAATAATTTATACAAGTATTATACAAGTCATATTTATTACTTAAATAATCAGAAACCTACCTGTAGATGTATAGCAACCACAGGAACATTGGTGGCTACAGACACCACTATACGTGACATTCCAGATTCATTCACCTCGACCGTTTGACCAGAACACCCTGCTGCAGTGACTTTCCCAGAAATTATATCACAGTACATCCCTGGTGGAAGTCCGGTAAAAAATGTTCTGTCTATATCAGTAGAGTCATTGTTTATGACGATAAAGCCACTGTTGCCACGACTAAATGCTATTTGATGATTCCCATTATCCCACCAGTTCAAGACTGGTTCATTTGCAACGACATTTCTAAAAATAACCATGTTTGATATCTCCATCCATCTACAGTCAGAAAACAAATACTGGTATTCAAAATCAGCAATAATTATTGACATAAACTATCTGTCTCACTCAGTTAATAAAATAATCTGCTATTTTATGTTTGAAAGCTACAAGTTAAAAAAAATTGTTTCATATCTTACTAAAAATCAAAAATTCACAATATAATATAAAAGCAATTAATATATTTGTTTGTACAGCTTTAAAATAAAAATAGTATATTACAACAGTTATGTACCTATGCTCACAGATCCATCCATTCGTACATGTTCCATCAGGGTTGATCTCTGGAGGACTGATATTCCATGCTGTATCATGTGGAGGACCTACCCAGTCATTCTGATCTTGACCCTCTTGAATATCCTGATCCCACCAATAGCTGCTCATTATACGGGCAACACCATAGGGCCAAGCTAGCATAAATATCACCCCCATTTTATATAGCTGTCCATCTCGAAAAGTCAGCACATGGTACTGTTGTCCAGATCCATGACCTCGTTGGTTGTCATGATTATCCACAAATGCTAGAGCATGATGAGAAGGTAGAAGTCCCCATCTTTGACCAAAAGTCTTCAGATGAGATAATTTGAGTCCCCTCTGCTTCAATAAAACTTGGCCTGAAAGAAGATTTGAGTCAAATTTAGTTCATTCAACTTCAAGATAGCTTGACCTAAAAAAATATAAACATTTTCTAGGTAAGAATTAATTTTGATGATTTTCATTAAACAGTCACCACATATTACAGACAATTCAAAAGTTGAGTTACCAAACAGTTAGACTTAAATAGATCTCAGAAAAATAATGTAAAAGCAAGTACAATTAATGTATTAATAATTTTTCAATGACCATGTGAACAAACAATAGCAAAATTATATACCTTATGAAAAAAAAAATACCAATTCATTCTGATTTTCTTACAGCACTATCAAAAAATGAAAACTATTAATTTATTCTATATTTGACTATTCTATTTTTAAATACCTTTGACATTTCTGAGAAATCGTAGTATGCGAAGCAATATTTTTTTGGGTAATTGCACTGTTTCGAGCTCACTTCGTATTAAGAGTCATTTACTCTATAGTTCAACAAAATCTGTACTCGCACCTCACCCAACTAAATTTAGTTGTTGTTTTTTTGTTTTTTTTACTGTTCCATAATCATTAACTGTAACAAGCAACTGAAATTTTAAGTTTCTGTTTAGATTCTAGAAGTAGAATATATATTAAATAATATCTTATTAATTCTTATATAAGTCACCTACCTACAACAATGCCATAGTTAAACTCTGTGACTCGACCAAGCCTCGTGTATTCTCCTGCTGATATAGGGTCATCTCCTGTATCGATAACTTCCTGATATATAAAAGGTCGAGTAGATGGGAGAAAGAATTCAGTAGTCAAATTGTTCAGTCTGTCAAAAATAATGTGAAGATCTCTTGGCCACATGTGTTTGGCAGCATCAATTCGGAAACCTGCTACTCCCAACTCAATCATGTGGTTCATGTACCCCACCATTTTGACTCGAACGTGCTCTTCACTCTGATCGAGGTCATTTAGTGTCAATAGGCGACAGTTTCGAAGCTTTGAAACAAAACAATGGTGTAATTAGAAGATGACATAAGTAAACTAAATATATTTGTTCACTTTCTAAAAAGTATAAAACAAAACCTTCAAAGTCAGAACTATTTAGAAAGGCAGATTTCTAGCATACAAACTAGTCACATTTTACATTTGAGTAAGTGCTTTGTATTCCTATTTTTTACCTTTTCTTGGGGAATGTTTTTTTCAAATTTATATAGGTTATACTGCTAAAAATGTATACATTAATTGAATTTGGTCATTAATTCTTAATAGTTAATAAATTATTCACAATAATCTTTTGCAGTAAGTTGGTTTACCTGTTATTAAGAAAAAAATATGTGTTGAAGTATTTTTATAATTTCAGTCAGAAATATTTTGTTATTGTAAAATACTTGAAATGCCACAACACGTTTTTAGATCTGTTTTTTCCTTCTTAAATTGTTATTTTCTGTTCTCATGTGAACATAACAGGAACATTACCTTACAAACTTTATCTCTGTTAGTGGAAATTACAATTTAACATGTCAACAATGTTTTTCATAGATCATGCAAAATATAAATATTTTTTTGACACATTAGAAATCTTTACAAGAACGATTTAATACATTTAAATAAACAGAAGTATTTTTTCAGTGAACATTTTTTTTTCTGCTTTCCAATGAAATATTACCACTTTCAGTAACACCTTTATTACATATACCAAAAAAAAAACTTCCATAACTTAATAAATTACACAAGTATTACGTCACCACTCCACACCAAAGACTTTTAATGCCCGATAAAATACTTGATACACGCTTACACAAAACAATGAAATGTTGCATTTACTATGGCATTTTCAATAAGTATCAATACAGTTATCATAATTCTGAAGTCCTACTTCATTAGAGGGCAATGTATGTCAGCTACAAAGTATTAGAAATCAAAATAACTTTCAATAAAAGTGGATTAACTAATTCATTGTCGTGTAAAGAAAAGCATGATCCTAATACATCAAAAAATTACCAAACAACAATTTGTAAGCACAATGATATTCATTGTAGAAAATATATGTTTAAAAAAAGTATGCTTTTCTACATTAAGTATCATCATGCTTACAAACTGTTGTTTGTTAATTATTACTAATTCATACTTTCTAATAAACCTGCAGGTGCATTACAGTACCAAGGATTACTGTCAGAGTTTAGTAAATTATATTTTTCACAAACCAAACAGTTTTTCTTTCTAGTTTTCAATAAATGCAGAAATAATCCTCTAACCATACCTTATATTTCATTTTGATAAGTTTGTTTAAAATTTTCAGCAAACCAAATAAACAAAATTACAGCTGGACCTTTGATAACTGTACAAAAGGTTAAATTATCAAAAAGACCTGGCAAACATCTTGAAAGTTTTCAATATTTCCACTGCGAGTACCACACTTCCGCCTGGAATTGAAATGGTGAGGACCATAAGGAACACTTTCATACAAAGGAATTTTAGGGTCAAAGTAACTCCCTCCTGAACTGATCTGTTCATCCATATAACTAGACATGTGATTGAGAACAACATCAACATAGATTCTGTAAACCAAAAAACCAACCAAGTTTTTAGTTTGACAAAGAGAGGTTGCAAGTAAATACACAACTTTTTTTCTTGTGAGACATAATTTCATGTTTATATTATTAATAATTCATATTTCATGCTCTAAAACAAAACATCAAAATGAAATGCTAATCATTCAACACATTTGGAACAAATAATTTTTCCATCAATTCTTAATAAGTAAAATAATTTTAACCAGTGCAGCTTAGCTACTATAACGTCAGTTATTGTCATAATAGAATAGCTTTTACCAAATGCTACTTGTACATTGTAAAATCAATAATACTTAAGAACATCAGGAAAGCTTTCTGATGTAACATTCAACTTTCTTTTTTCTACATCAAAATTGATAGAAAGTAACTTTAAATTTCTTCTTTTAAAGTATGTCTTTACAAGTTATTTAACTAAACCTCACTAAATGTGATATTACCAGAAGATAATAAGTGCTAATGTTATATTCCTGTAACTGTACATTTTTTTTATATAGATATGTGTACATATTAAAAGATATTTGAGTAATTTGTTTTTATAATTAGGCACAAAAAACAGAATGTTAATAACAAGAGTTCAACTGCTTGATAACTGATGAACTGATAAAGGTGTTATGTATGCAAATAGTCTTCCTGGTAATCCAGATGTACAAAGGTCATAAACAAACACTAATCTTCTTGTTTAAGTAAAGATAACATACTATACAGGCTATTCCACAGAAACTTGTACTATCTTGACCCTACGTCTACTCCCTTGAGTAGGATAAGTCTAAAGGGTGGCACAAATACTTGTAAAAGTTAGTACAAACCAAGGGCTCTCTCCATTGTACATGTTTATTTGGACTGATCATTAATGTAGGTAATCTAAGGGATTGTAGGATATCACACTAGGACCTCAGTGTGACATAAAAATGGGATATCTCTATGACTTTGGGTCTCTTTTGCACTGACTCTATCTTCATCTGACACAGTTGTCTAATCATGCTCTTCATCCCAGCAGCAAGTTGCAGTCAATCTAAGAAATATCAAAGCTAGCCAGTCTGGTTCAAAATCTTCACTGTTGTAAATAAAGATTTTGTTTTATTTGTTCACTTGTATTTGCCAGTTTCCATTGCTATCCATGTTTGATATACTATAACATTTTCAGAACCTGAAATTTGTTCATATATGATTCTAGTGTATGACATCAGTGACCCTGTATACCACAGTTCATGTAAAGTGAAAAATATGTTTCAGTCATGCCTTTAGCAAATGAAAAAAATAGTTTGCCAACAAGTTATCCATGCAAACTTACCTGTATTCAGAGCTGTTTGCAGTGCTAACAAATTCTTAAATATCTATGATTTCCAAGTAAAAGTAAATGCAAACACATTAATTCTACAGATTTATAACTAGTGAGAAGATTATTTTCACACAGTATCAAAAATTCAAACCAGATTTTAGGCACTGTTTTATTAAACTTAAAAACATTCCACTAAATAGGTCTAAGTTATATAGACTGTTTTAAACATAATTTCAGAAATTTGTAAAGATATTTGAATAACAACATGCAGAATAATAGACAAAATTCTATCAAAATTTTTGAAACTCATTAAAAAAAGAGAGAGGACAAAATTTTAAGAGATTACCTAACACCAGCTATATTACAACGACGAACCATATCAGCGTATTGCTCCTCTTCACCACTACGGGTTACAATCCGATAACTTACTGGACGATACCTTTCATACCAAGGACGTTTCACTTTCACATTCCAGTAGGGACTCATTACAATGGCATGCTCATTTGGTGGTGATATCTAATAGGACAATGAAACATTGAAAATTATTACATTAATAAAATTATGGGTTAATAGATACAGTTACAATTCTTGACTGCAAACTTTGACAGATCATCCAGAAATCTGAATATAATCATGTACAAAGGAACAGCTTTGAAATTTTGCAAACACTCTAGAAGTACAGTAGAGAAAACTATTCTACATTTGTAGATGAAAGTAAGCAAATACAAGTCAACATAAAAAATATGTTACATTTTTTAAAATTAATTTTAAAAGAGCAGTACAAACCAAAAGTGTTTTTTTTTAATTCGGTTTTGCATCCTGATGACACATATTGCACTCTTGATTGCGTGTGTGTCGAAATTGGAAGCTTTATTAAAAATGAAGAATAGTTACGACTCCAAGATGTTCACCCAATTTATAAAACTTGGCTTCATTTGTGGCATCACATATGAAATACGATAATCTCACACACTAAAACACTAGTAATTAATGATCATATTTTGTAAACGTTTCAATGAGAGTTCCAATTCTGGACGATTCAAACTCAAACTTTGTTATGTGTCTTTCAGGATATCAGTTTCATTGGATTTTTATGCAAAGTTGATCATCCTAGTCAGGTTTCATGAACTGCTATTTGGAACCATTTCATGATAAGATTTAAGGGTTTATGACATCTTGCACATTTTACTCTAGGTAAATTGTTTGATCACTACATAGGCAAGTGCATAAAATGATAAAAACTGTAAGACAGACAGACATGTATATACATACATATGCATGTAATTCATGTTATTTCTACATGCTGGTTTTTATAGAGCTAGTTCTGAAAGGTAGCTTTTTCACAACAAGATTATTCAGCATTGCTTCCTACATAGTGGTTTCTCTAAAAGGTAAACTACACAATGTAATATTTTTTTAGAAATTAATCCTCAAGTGTGATATGTGAAACAGTTCAAGCAATAAGTGATATACAATTCAAAAGGCAAATCTAACAAGCTAAAAATGAAAGTCACAATACATTCAGACTTGTCAATTACCTTAAATACTTCTATTTTGAGCAAAGTACTTATTATCTTGAATTTTCTTACAAGTTTTGATATTATTTTAGATACACAGAAGTCAGTTTTATGTAAATAAAATCAGCACCACATTTATAAAACTACACACAATATATAATAAATGGAAAAAAAAACTTACTCTTTTACCTGAACACCTGCATATCCAGCAGGTCCTAAAAATCGTTCACATTCATCTGCAACAGCTGACCATGTCCATTCAAACAGGTGGACAATGACTGTTCTTCCATCTGTTGCTTTAATATCATGGTATGGTCCAGGAGCTTGGGCTCCTATGCCTATTGAAATATAAGTATATTGTGCCAATATTTTACAATTTGTATTGTAGTATTTCCATCACTTGCAAAACTCCAGATAAGACCATTTGTCTGTCTACACTTGTTTTTAATACATCAATAGGAGAGTTTCTATTGCAAATATGATGCCAGGAAAACTGAATATTTGACTTTCTGGGATCAAAGACTGAGAAAAGCTGTTTACAGGTACAACTTTAAACTAGGAAAATGAAGACAGCATCCAATATTGTAAATTTTGCATCTAGTTGAAATACTTGTATTAGTAAATAAAACCAGCTACAATAAAAATTGAATAAAGCTAATCCATATTTTCTATGTTCAGTAATTTGATAACATTTCTAACTTGTTAGTTAAATTTTTCAAGTTATAAGTTTGTGATTTTTTTTCACAAGATATTTACCTTTTATTCCACGTAATGCTACATCTCGCCACCTTTGAAATCGAAACTGGATTCTATATAGAGAACCAGGCAGTCGAATGCTGATCCGCTGTCGAGATGTGGAGCTTGAACTTGCTGAAATTTTAGATTTCTCTTTCGAAGTGTCTCCATCATCCACATCAAAATGGCTGCAACTGTCAAATATTGGCTGGAACTGTAGAAAAGGTTAGAGAAATTTTGCCTTCTGTATGTTAAAACATACTAGTGGTTTAAACCAATAGTTTTCATTACAGTACTTCTTTAAATGTACAAGATATAAATGAACATACAAGTATATTCATTTGCTGATACAAAATTTAAATGTTTACAATAAATGATATTATTATTTTAGGATATTCGTTCTTTTTGGCTGGAATATAAGCATACTCTAACGATTTTATAAAGATAAAACAATAATTTTCATTATAATATCTAATAATCTTCGGATATTATGCACATAATACAGGTAACTATAATTCTGCTAAGTTTGTAACGTTAGGTATCACAGATTCACTTTACTAAATCAGAATTGTCTACTTATACAAATCCAATTTCTTGTTCATGCACATATGCTCAGAATAAGAAATGTAATAAAAGTTTTAAACTAACCCCTTAACAGTAATACTAATAGTAATAGTATCACAGCATAGTCATCCTTTTTAACAAATTAATTGCATTAGTGGGCATTCTCCCTTTACCTCCTACATTAGATAATGAACGGTTTAGTTTTTCTTTTTTCAACAATAGAATAAATCAAAAACGCACACAATTAACGAACATGATTATATATATATATCAATAACTATAAGTTAAGCAGTAGCAGCAATAGTGCTGCTTTAATTATTAAAGAATTTTGGGCTATTTTACCGTTATAACTTATAAACAACCTTCGACTCGAGTCAGCATATTATCGTTACAGCTCTACGTAACAGTTCAATACATTGTGACGAAATAATTGCTATTTTGTTCTTTTAGCGTGTACATAATTTTATGTTTCAGGTTTTTAATTAAAAGCAAACTCAAAATTTGGTATCTATGTCACCAAACTATACATAGTGTCATCTAATAGTAATATTTAATTCTAAAAACAAAACTTACACTTCGATACGTACGACACGCGCATTTCTCGTAACCTTCTGAGGTATTTACCCTTGAGCATCTTTCTTCCTTTTCTCCATTCAGGAACGTCATGTTCTGATAAACACTAATTTCACAAACTCCATTACTTATTAAAGCTGTATATTTGTTATTAGTCGCATTTATCTGGATAGCAAAATAATAAAAATAGATTAAAACTACAACGGGTTTTGACATCAATATAACATAACAAATACAATTTCACATAAACACTAACTTAGTAACCAATGCCTAATGGTTATATTCACGTATAATGTGATAAATCGCGCCGTGGTTAATTTAAAAAAGAAAGAGAGGTTAAATCCGTATGGCAAACGTAATCGTCGAATGGGAATAATCAAGCATTATTTTACAAGTTATTTTTTAAGATATTTACATTATAAAAATTCATAACAATTGTTACTATTTATGTTATATTCTATAATATGAATATTTCAACAAATTACTGAGTTTCTAAAACTACTGGGTAATATTATATTTTTGCCCCTTTTAAAGTGTAATGAACTGCTGCTAAGCACATTGTCAATTTTATTGTTTTAATCTTCTGTTTTAAGATAAAAAAATACTAACATATTTAGATAATAAGTTTTAAGATGTTAAAGGTAAAGTATGATAGGTGGTGTAATGAGGGTGTATGGCGACCGGGGGGCAAAACATAATTTTGCGCCCCCTAAAAAACCCCAACTCCACCCGCACTTTACAGACTTACTTTCTAACTTCTAACTGATTCAGTCGCCCCTTGAATGGCTGCCAGACGAATGGAAGCTATTGTTTATTCTTTATGAATTTGAATCATTAGCTAATTAATATCCCTGGTTTGAATAACAATTATGTTGCATATAATACTATACATTAATATAAAAATGCACTATCACTTTCCTGATTGGTATCGTTATAGGACAAATAAATCTGAGACAGAATTATTTTGACTGCCTAAAATCCGTCGACAGTTTGAATAATACGGCCTCAAATTGTCAAGTGTTCACAAAATTTCTAAATTTCCTATCATCTATGAGATGTCAGTTTATTATAATCAATCTAACACTGAAAACCAATGGATTTCTCTAGGCATGATATTTCTAATGATATACTAATATTTGATGTCAAGCATAACAAAAACATTTTAATGAGCTTTATTAGTCTTATGGGAACAACTAAATTATGGGTGAACTGGTTGTTAATTTGGCGCCACCGAACCCCACGTCCGGGGGCAAATTCCCCCTTACTATGTTACTAAGTGTGTGATATGGAGGCATATCATGCGTTTTCTATCTTCGATAGTGGTTCAGAGTTTATAATCTTTTCCTCGATTATTTATTTTCTTCACTGTCATGTTGGCTACACGTGGTCCAGAAAGGTAAATGTCTTCTTGGTAAATGATTTCTTCTCTTCTCGGGAAGATACTTTAGCGTTGTATGAAGTGTCCGGATCAGAATCTTATATATAGAGAGATGCGACATAGGAGGTACCCAAATTTGTAGGTCACATGGTACACTGGAAGCATTTTGGATCCTAACTGCTGCAGACGATTAAAAGCATATTGACAGTATCGTTGTACGTTGTAAGAGCAGTAAAAAAAATCTGACTAACGCCGAAAAAGGAGGAAATAGCAGGTTTTTGTGTGGGGGTTGCACCAACCACACTGAAAAGGTTCAAAATTATATCGTTTCCACTCAGACTCCACAAGAAAGAAAGGATTGTTGCGTCATCGAGATCACGTGACTATTCTCACGCCCTCTAGTTTCTAGAACTATCTTGTTC